CCTAACACTTGTGGTCGGATCTCTATCAAACTCACGCAGAATCATACGGGCAAATCTGCGCTGACGAACATTTATGTTTTGATCTCTTTGGAAATTTCCAAAACCATTTTCAATTATTTGGCGATGCACTCTTACAAATACTGAGCGAGTTGGATGTCGTCTGTTCGTGCGTATTCTCTGGCTGCTTCTGCTGCGTTTCCATTTACAAAGCCATAGATAAAATCAATATCCGCTAACTCTTGATTGGAGAATAAAAATGGCATTTTTATAAAACTTACAAAAAAAAACAGGTAAATGAAACTAAATTTCGTGCATTCACAATTTCAAAAAAACGTTTCAGGTTTTAACAGACAACAAAACTAACTGTCAACTAATTGACGTTTAACCTTATTCTGCTTTCAATTTCAAAAATATTTGCAGGCACAGCCTACTTCTAAAAATTATCGAGATACTGACTTTTTAACGTTATTTTATCATAAATAATTAAAAATGCATCGAACCTTAAAAATCGGAATACCTCAAAAACGGCTAACTATAACAAAAATTCACAAGAGAGCTTTTTTATGTTGAAAAATGCGAAGAATCATTTTTTTATTCAAAAAGCAAAAAATTGCACTAAAAAAAATTTTCGGTCATTTTAACACACTATAGGTACAGTAGAGAGCGCCTTCTAGCGGCTACAGTAAAACTATGCCCATGGTACGTTTTGTCGTACCAAAAAACTCTTGTATACCAATTTTCACTATTATACATCAAATATTGCTCGAAATATTTAAAAAAAACTATTTTAGAAAGTAAATTTAAACACCCTGTATTTCGGAAGCCACGCATTTTTCGACCCATGTTTATATAGACTTTATGCATTAATTTTAAAAGTTCTATCGAATCTTAAAGTTATGCAACAATAAACTGAAACACATATATGTGTTATGTGTGTATATATGTATGTGTATATGTGTGTATGTATATATGTATGTACATATTTTTTTTTATTTAACATCACTGTATTTATTGATTCCGCTGGTTAAGTGTAAGAGTAGCATTGCTAAACTTCGCCAGTTGAGTCCCACTTTCAGTATGTACCATGTACATATTTTTTTGTAATAAAGGCGTATATTATTATTATTATATTTAAACTATCAGTAGACATATCACTCACATAAAATAAGTGTAACCAGTTTCTTTTCTTATTGTAATTACATTTTTGACATGATCAGCTTTTATCAGTTTAGAATAATTTTGAAATTCAACTGTAACTAATGGAAATGAATAATATCTCATAAACTTAAAAATAAATGGCATAAATAAAGATAGGCATTAGGTAAAATTGTCTTTCAGGTTGACTCAAAGATGAAGTTGGTTCAAAAAACAATAGAAATCATGAAATTATTCTATTCTAGTCCCACAAATATTGTGGCCAAAATCAAAAATAAGAACTCGAAAATCATAAAAAGGCTGAGTTTGATTTTATATGATCTGATTTGTAATTACTGACTAACACACTCAATTTTGAAATATAGTAACAATATTATCAAGATACTATACTCCCACAGCATAGGCTCGAAAAAACTGTAATGAAGATTAAGACAGGCAGACAGATTGCTACCTATACGGTGAGAATTATTACGCGTGTGATATACAGGGTGTCACGAAAAAAGTGTGCAATATTCTACCAGCGGTTTCTAGAGCTTAAAATAGCAAGAAAAGTTTATACAAACATAGGTCGCAAACGTCCCCTAAGGGCGCTACGGTCTTTTAAAGGGGCTCCCCAAAAGATGGTTTTTCCTTAATATTTCCGAAACGTGTTGAGATGAAGATATAAAATTTGGTATTCTACCCTAGTTTTTATGCTGGATTAAA